TAAACATATAATACGAGAATGAATGGATGGACTAGGGGAACGAATAGATATAAAAACAGAAATTATATTATCAACCATATAATCAGCAATCAAATGGATAGGCTAGGTTATCGTATAGAAGTACAAGAGAGAATATATTATTCAAAGTATCAGAGAGACCGTATCAGAGTGGATTGAATGGCAAAACAAGAATGAAAATAGGGAATCGTATAAGCAAAAACCGAAAAACCACTATTAAACATGAAATAGATGATCAAAATCGATAATATACTATCAAACATATAATAGGGGATCAAACTGATGTAATAGGGGGGGTGTATAGACGTACAACAGAGAATATATAGCACCAAACATATTAAAGGGGATAAAATGGATGGAGTACGTGATCATATAAATGTACAACAGAGAACATCATGTCAAACATAAAAGAGGGGGGAACAATTGATGGACTAGATGTACAACAGAGAATATACTATCAAACATATCAGAGGGGTTCGAATGTATTAACTAGGGAATTATAAAATGTACAACAGAGACATCATGTCAAACATATAGGACGGGATCCAAAGATCGTAAAGATGTACAACGGAGAAAACTATCACACATATATGAGGGGATGAAATGGATGGACTAGAGGATCATACAGTTGTACGACAGAGATTCTTGCATATCAGACAGGATTATCTACCGTTTACACCGGTGCTAGAAAACTCTGTCTTACACTCCCATGTAAGACAAGTCGCGTGCTTTAAATGACGTCATTGACGCGCGACTTTTATGAATGAATCGCGTTCTTAGGATGACGACTTTTTTCCGTTATGAATGAAGTTGTATGTTCATACGTTACAATAAGAAACAAGAGCCATGTCAACATGGCCATCCCACGCCGAATGTGTTTGCTCATTGGAAGAATGTATATGTAGTAGAGCAGAATAATTCAATTTTAAAAGGTCTTTTTATAATGAAAACTGATGGCTGAAGTGATTACAGATTTGAAACTTATGTGAATACTGATGGCTGAAAATAACAAAGGGCAATAACTCAAACATTATGAAAGGTAGAGTTGTCATTCTTGTGCACTGCACACCTCCTGAGTGAGATCTATCAAACTATGAAGTTTTATGTTGATATCTTAAAGGCTTTTTGAGTTATGCTCTGGACAAAAATTAATTTTGAAAAATAACAAAGGGCAATAACTCAAACATTATGCAGGGTAGAGTTGTCATTCTTGTGCACTGCATTCTTCCTCAATGAGATCCATCCACCTATGAAGTTTCAAGTTGATACCTCAAACACTTTTTGAGATAAGCTCCGGACAAAATAGTATGAAAAAGAACAAAGGGCAATAACTCAAAAATATAAAGAGAAGAGTTATCATTCTTACGTACAGCATTCCTCTTTTATAAGATCTTTCCACCTATGACATTTCATGTTGACATCTCAAACACTTTTTGAGTTATGCTCCACTCATGTGAAAAATTATGTATGAAAAATAACAAAGGGCAATAACTCAAAAAATATGAAAGGTAGATTTATCATTCTTGTGCACTACACACCTCCTGTGTGAGATCTATCCAACTATGAAGTTTCATGTTGATATCTTAAAGGCTTTTTGAGTTATGCTCTGGACAAAAATTAATTTTGAAAAATAACAAAGGGCAATAACTCAAAAATTATGCAGGGTAGAGTTATCTTTCTTGTGCACTGCACTCCTCCTCAATGAGGTCTATCCACCTATGAAGTTTCAAGTTGATACCTCAAACACTTTTTGAGATAAGCTCCGGACAAAATAGTATGAAACAGAACGAAGGGCAATAACTCAAAAAATAAATAGGGAAGAGTTATCATTCTTGTGCACAGCATTCCTCTTCAATAAGATCTATCCACCTATGACATTTCATGTTGACATCTCAAACATTTTTTGAGTTATGCTCCACTCAGGTGAAAAATTATGTATGAAAAATAACAAAGGGCAATAACTCAAAAATTATGAAAGGTAGAGTTATCATTCTTGTGCACTGCACACCTCCTGAGTGAAATCTATCTAACTATGAAGTGTCATGTTGATATCTAAAAGGCTTTTTGAGTTATGCTCTGGACAACAATTAATTTTGAAAAATAACAAAGGGCAAGAACTCAAAAATTATGCAGGGTAGAGTTATCTTTCTTGTGCACTGCACTCCTCCTTAATGAGGTCTATCCACCTATGAAGTTTTAAGTTTATACCTCAAATACTTTTTGAGATATGCTCCGGACAAAAATGTCGGACGGAAGGACGGACGGACGGACGGAAGGAAGGACGGAGACTATTTTATATCCCCCGCCGCCTTTCGGCGTGGGATAAAAAGTGCGTAATGAGCATATCAGTTTTCATGATTATTTGACATGTAATATACAAGAAAAAGAATGCAGACGGGAATATCTAGCTCTCGGGTAACTGTTTAGCAGAAACTCGGCAGAGCCTCCTTACCGCTGTAAACAGTTACCATCGAGCTAGATATTCCGGTCTGTACCGGAAGCCGATGTAAGATTCTTATTATATATAATCAAACATCAGGAGGGATCAAATGGATGTACTAGGGGGTCATACAGATTTACAACAAAGAATATATTGAAATACTATATTATCTACTATATTATCAAACATATCAGAAGGGACCAAATGGATGTACTAGGGGATCATACCGATGTACAACAGGGAATGTATTACCAAACATATCAGAGGGGATCAAATGGATTGACTAGGGGATTATATAAATGTGCAACAGAGAACATCATGTCAAACATATAGGAGGGGATCAAAGGATCGTAAAGATGTACAACAGAAAATACTATCAGATATATCTGAGGGGATCATACAGATGTACAACAGAGAACATACTATCAAACATATAAACGGGGATCAAATCGATGTACAAGGAGATCCTATAGATGTACAAAAGATACATATAAGAGGGCATCAAATGGATGGACTAGGGGATAATATAGATGTTCAGCAGAGAATATATACACCTGGAAATTAGTTAAACACATCTGGCATTTTGCCTCAATTTTGACATGAGCACAATTAAAATTTTAAATTTACGGACCACCTGTATTCAACCTTCAACAACTGGAACAAGTTCTGTACTAAAAATTGCAAAAACAACCACAGAATCGTATTAGACGCCTTACTGGTAGTATGAGAAGGGTTGAGGCTGTCATCAGGGCACGTGGCAGTTACACACGTTATTCAAAATTTGGCTAAATAATGTCATTTAAGGTTATGTACTCGTCAACATTTACCAAAATATCTACCGATAAATGTTTTGTAAACGCTCCGACCCCATACTTATAAACACTTACATTTTTGGTAAAAAACTACACATTTGCTTCTGCTTCAATAATTTGGTTAAGAATAAACTTAACTAATAAATGTACTGGTTTATGATTACTAAATTATTATCGCTAGTTATCAAATTAATATTTCTTAGCTCAATTAAGTCGTCATCTCATATAGATGTACAACAGAAAACATACTATCAATCATGCAGGAGGGAATCAAATGAGTGTACTAGGGGATCATACAGATGTACAACAGAGAATACATTATCAAACATGACAGAGGGGATCAAATAGCAAATAGATGAACTAGGGGTCATATATATGTACAAGAGAAAACATACTTTCAAGCATAAGGGAGGGGAACAAATGGATGTACTAGAGGATTCATATAGATCTACTTGATCCCCTCTGATATGTTTGATAATTTATTCTCTGTTGTACATCTGTATGATCCCTTAGAACTCCCATTTGATCCCCTCCTGTGTGCTTGATAGTATGTTCCCTTTTGTACATCTATATGATCCTCTAGTACACCCTTTTCGGATATCCCCTTTAGTGCTTGATAGTATATTCCTTGCTGTACATATATATCATAGCTTATACTATCCATTTAGTTTCATCGTAAACTTGTATGTTGCATTATATAAGTAACACATGGGTTTGTGGGTAACAGTAAAAATATCATCCCGAGGAAAATACAGTTACCTTAGGCGTAGCCGAGGGTAACACTATTTTTACAAGGGATGATATTTTTACTGTTACTCAAAAACCCAACTGTTATTTGTTTCATTACCCCGAACAAAAATTGTGTGATGATCTCAAATTATCAACTAAATCTAACTGTAACAAAAATAAATCTAGAGTAACAATAACTTATCTGTCCTTACCTTTTCATTATACTTTAGGCCTTCTTGAATCGTTTTCGTTTTCTTTTATTTTTTAAGCTAGTGATGATATCTACTACTCATAAACATACAATAAGCTGGTTTTTATTTAGAAAATAAAACACTTACCCATTCATACGGTTATGATCTGTGAAATCTGATCCTTTTGTGTCCATAATATTTTTCACATGGTTTTTGACAAAATAACGATGATATCATATGTCTGTCTACCATATCTGTTACGTCTAACTAGAGATGAGTATATTTCATTTTTTTTCTTCATTTGTTTAATTGACAAATCACGAACTTCTCCATTGAAGGAAATTGTTGACGATATAAAATATTTCTCCAATGGCGGCGCCGGAGATATATAAGGAATCACATTATAAGAGGACCAAGAGATCATCTATATGAACATTTACTCTAGTTTTGATAGAATATGTGTGCAAGGTTAATGTTAGATGAGCAGGAAATCATCAAGATGTAAATATAAATTAGTAGTTATGGAATATAATTATATGAAGGGTCACCTGTCCTTTTAGATGATTGAATTAAAATCCGTGATATGTCATGCAATGATAAATTTTATTAAACGTGTCCAAGAAAATGTTATAAAGATGTCAACTCATGCGAAAACCTATAAATAATATTTCTAAACTCTATTTGATTAGCCGTTAACTCGCATGACTTGTGTCTGTGTAAATTACGCGCTTATCCGTTTGCCCTGTGGCCGCCCCAATTACACAGGTAAACAATCAACCGCACTTTGTCGTAAAGCAGTGTAGGATAGATTTGAGTCATGGCGGATGTGAGATAGGAGATATTCGTTTATAATCGTGACCTCAAAAAGGATTTCGTACTTTCAACAGCATTCAAAATGGATTCTTTACCATTAATTAATTCAGTTTTATTTTCGGTTTTAATTTTATTTAAAGGTTAGTTGTTAAATATATCTTCTAAATGTACCTGATGATTACCTTTACTATTTTATCGGTGACACACTTTTTGAAGATGATGTTCTATTATCTGAATGACCGATGGTCAGTTATAACCATAACACTGTTAAATATCTATAAGTTTTATTGTAAGTACTAGAGCAAATGTTTAAATGTTAAAGCATTCTATCAAACTGTATCAGAGAGAAAAATCTATACTAAGTTAAACCCGCGTGACGAGAGAGTATATCATATTACACAACAACCCCTTACTAAAGCTTGTAAGTTCATTCATTTATTACATCAAATATTTTATTAACAACAATTTTAAACTCTATAAGAAAATGTGAAATGTAATTTGAATATCAATTATGTTTTTAAACACACATTATTGAATAATCATTAAATCCTGTCAACATGTAATCATTTGTTAAATCAAGAAGAACATTACAAATTTAATCTATCTGGGGTGATCTAGTTATTACAGATGCACACTGATTTTGAGACACTTGTTTATCTACATAATAAGACACTGGATAAGTTGGTACTGTAGACAATAAAGTTTTTGAGGTCTTAAAATTTTCATTGAAAGGAATATCTATTTCTTTATCAAAGTCAACTCGTTAATGCAACTTAACTAAACTTCCGCGATTTCTTTCAATGGTAGATTTCGGTGTCTCAACTTTAAAAGATCGTGGTCTCGAAGCTTTCTTAACTACTCTACCTTCTATATTCATGTACTCCGTCCCCTTTCTTTAATGAAGGCAAATTTTGTGCACGTCTTTTTCTGTCATAATTTTGCTTAGCGTAAGCACGGTATGATTTCTCTCTATTTTAAAGTACTTTATAGTTTATATTGCTTGGTAGTAGTTTTTGTGGTGCTTGTGGAAGAGGTGTTTTAATATGCCTACCAAATAACATTTGACTCGGACTTAAACCATTTTGCGGTAATGGAGTCGCACGATAGATCATCATCGCTTCATAAGGGTCGTCGCATTTTGACAATAAGCGTTTTACAGTCCGAACAGCGCGTTCTGCTTCCGAATTCCCTATGGGATATCGTGGACTACTTGTCACATGTTCGATTCCGTATTTCATAAAAACTGTTTGAATGCATCAGAGGTGTATTGTGGCCTCCGTCAGAAACTATGGTATCGCATAGGCCATGTCTCGATAATATTGACTTGAAATGTTCAACTACCGCCACCGAAGATGTTGACGTAAGTCTCGATAATTATATATATCGTAAAAAGTAATCTACTACTAATAAATATGTATGTCTGCGCCAATGAAAATGATTTGAACCTAATCTTGACCAACTTCTATTAGGAGTAGATATCATTGGTTCTCTTTTGTCATTTTGAAATTTTGCACAAATATCACAATTCTGAATCATTTGCTGTATGTCACCTGATATACCTATCCACCAAACTGATACTTTTGCCCTTTCTCTACATTTTGAAATGCCTTGGTGAGCGTGGTGTAACTGAGACAGAATGTCTAGTCTCATGTTTGTCGGAATAATAAATCTGTCATTTCTTATTAACAAACCTTTATTCACAGTAATTTCTGACCTATAAGGTTTATAAAATTTGGCAATTCCGCACGATTCTGTATTATGCCACCCATTAAAGGTATATTCAATTAATTTGCTGCAAACATAGTCAGATTTTTGTTTGATTCAATTTTCTCCAGCCTTTTTTGTAGCTGGGAGACTGGTGATAACTGAGTCAACATACAATTCGGTTTCATTTCAACTTTGCTAGTCAGTAAATGTTAAGGTGTCACATTCAGCATGCGACAAGTTATCAGGAATACCAGTATACATGAATTTTCCAGGCACAAAGCTGATTGAATAGGAGAATCTTAGCAGTCTCATTCCAAATCTTTGTACCCTTACTGGTAGATCACTCAAGTTCTTTTGACCCTAAAGACTAACACAAGACTTTTAAAGTCAGTTTTGATATGGAAATGTTTTCCAATCATAAGGTCACTATGTCGTTCAGCCCCAGTAAGTACGCCTAGTGCTTCTTTTTCAACAACACTGTTTCTAACCTCTGTAGGTGTAAATGCCATTGACGCAAATGATACTGGCTTAAAGGCACCATTGTCTTGTTTCTGAAGAGCTACACTTACGGTAGCATATTTTGAACAATCTGTCATGAGAACAGTTTCCCTATTTTGATCATAATGAGCTAACACTGGAGTATTGGTCAAAGTCAGCTTGATTTTATCAAAAGTTTCTAATCTTGTTGGTCTGAACCCCAGTAAAATTGATTTTACGTACTCAACAGATTTCTGATAGGTTTTGAGTATGCTGCCAAAGAGAAAATTTCCCAAATTGATTGACCATTTCCATCAAACTTCGTTACCCATGTATGTCTTTTGAAGGACATTAATTTCTGATGGCCTTAACCTTGTCCTTGTGAGATTCCATGTTGTCCTACTAAGTATCCAACCAATTTGAACCTTTTTTGCTTTATTACACACTTATTTTCATTCAGTGTTACATTACCCTGGTCTAGTTTGTTCAAAACTGTCCTAAGTCTTGTGTCATGTTAAAAGGTGTTATAAATGTATTAAATAAATTATTTTCTTGAGCAAGTTCAATTTGCCAAAATGAACTATAAGCGTCTAATTTTGAAAAATATTTTCAATTTTCAATTCTGATTTTGTACATTACCTGTGACTGTTCATAGTTGTTTTTAAAAACGGATGTCAACTATCTCAACGAGAAAAATGGTTTTATAACAGTAAATGCCTTTACCTATGTGGTTTTAAATTTCACTAGTAAATTATCATTGTATAAAATGTCTGAAAATTTAGCTATAAAAGCAAACAAAGTATAAGTTATCCTTTTAAAAATATCTATAATCTTTAACCAATGTCAAGTCAATCTTATTTTAAAGTTTTTGACTCAAAATATGTCTTGTTTTGTTATATGGGTCAGAAATATGGGGACTTGAAGTTAGGGATTGTATAGAACGTGTTCAAATATATGCATGTAAGACATTTATGAATATTTCTTTAAAAGCGTGTAATGCAATTGTAATGGGAGATTGTGAAAGATACCCAATGTATATATATATGCAACAAAAAGATGTATTAAATTTTGGATAAGGATTTTTATATATGGATGATGAGAGATATGTTAAAAAAAATATTTTATGCTTAAAAGGTTAGATGAACTAGGTTATACAAAATTGGGTGACAACTCTACGATTAAATTTCTATAAGAATGGTTTTGGCTATATTTGGGAAAAAGAAAAGGTTGAAAATGCAAACTTATTCCTTACCCTTTATGTAAATAGATTACAAGATCAATACATGCAAAATTGGAACAGTGAGTGTTTAGAAAACAGAAAGCTAGTATTCTATAGAAGTTTTAAATGCAATATTAATTTTGAAAAATATCTGGACTGTACAGATATATTGAAATTTAGGAGTAGTCTTCCTGCTTTTAGGTCCTCTTCTTATCAATGATAGAGAAAGGAAGACATATTGGTATTCCAAGGGAAATCTGTTTTTGTATACACTGTCGATATGAAATTGAATGCGAATTTCATTTTCTGTTAAAATGTCCTTTATATGATAATTCACGTCAACAATTTATACCAAATAAGTATTGGGAACATCCAAATAATCAAAAATTAAACTTATTAATGTCATGCAAAAGTGTTAAGACAATACGAAACTTATCAATGTTTTTATATTATGCATTTAAACTGCGAAATGAATCTATATCTTAAATGTCTTTATGTTAGTTGCTAAATCTTATTTCACAATTACATGCTTTGTGAAAATTGGCTAAAATGCTTCTCTGACAACATGTCATTGTACTTTATACCACTCTATGTAAACCTGTATATTATGTGATGTTATATTATCATAACTAGCTGCCATGTCATTATGCTATTGTGTTTATATATATGTATACATGTGTATGGGCCGGTGGCCTGAATGCAAATTTTTTTAATAAACTCTTTGAAATGCACATCATTAAGCGGCGTCTTTGATGTGCATCATCAACATGTATCTTTTTGTCACTTTTAGGAATACATACCATTCCTGCTCACCAATCAGTGCTTTCATCTACTTTAAAAATTATGCCTGCCTTTGTCAGATTTAACTTTCGGTAGCAAAGGTATAGGCACGCGCCTTTGTACAGATAAAGCATATGGCTGCGCGTTTTCATTGAGTGAAATACGATATTTACCATCTAATTGCCCTGGTTCGCGAAATAGATTAAGATGCTTCTGTTTGACATTTTCAATGGTTTGAATCGCGTCCAAATTAAATTGAATTTAATTGAGATTCTTTATAGCAGGTTTCCCTAATAAACATTTTTCTATGTCTCTTACAACGTACTTATTTTCTTGTGAAGAGTTACCATTGTGTGAAAGAGTCTGTGTAAACGAACCAATAACTATCAATTTTATGTTACCTGGGCCGTATAACGATCTGTGAGTTTTATACAATTTTGGTTTGCCTAAAGTATTATAAAAACATTCAGGAATAACAGTCAAATCAGAACCAGTGTCTATTTTAAAGTAGACAAACGAATCTCTCACCTGAAGTTTTATTGTCCAAGGTTCATCTGGTACACAGCGAATAGTTCCTAAATATGATGATGCGTCATTTGCACACAGTTCATGCAGCATTTTAAGTTTGACAACACACTGCTAAGTGATTAAAATGTCCACATTTTCGGCATACTTTCCCAAACGTTGCACAATGCCCTCGTGAATGACATTTATTACAATTTGAACACCGTTTATTATCGATTTTCTTCGATTGTCTAGATTGTGTTCCCGGAAATTTCTGCGTCGCATCTTGCTGTCGAGAACCGTGTGGTTGCGGTAACGAACTTCGTTTTGGCTTTGCCCCGCCACAAATCTCGTCTGTTACAGCTACGTCCTGTTGTGATCGAATTTGGTTTTTAACTAATTCGCTGATTCTTGCCATTGTTACGCATTTTTCGCGAGTAATGTTTTGTTCAA